TAAGGGATTTTTTTATTACTGCAATATAGAAAAAAAGTCAATAAATTGAAAATCGAAATCAAAAGTGGGGGCTTAATAGGAGGGGCTGCTGGTGTAATGTAATTTCCAGGTTCCTTCACATACATCATATCGATAAATTGGGAAACGTTATTATCCAAAATAATAATAATAAATTGGGAAACGTAATATTGTATATTAATATTACCTTACATTATATTGATAAAATCATATGGAATTTATATATTTTGAGCACTTTCCATTAATATAATAGGATAATAAACTGGCAAGTTGTGTTCGGGTTCACAGGTTATATTTAATTTTTAAAGCATCTTTTCTCAAGGAAAGACATAATTAATTAATTTAAAGCTCGTATAAATTGGGAAACGGAATATTGCATATTAATATTTACCTTATGTTATCTTGATAAAATCATATCAAATTTATATATTTTAATTAAGAAATATTTTAAAACTCAAAAACCAAACAGTTTTTTTTTTTTATTCAACAATGCCTAAAAGGTGGGAATTCAAACCTTCGATTTTTTGATCGATAGTATATATATCTTAACCAGTTGACATATACTTATACTTAGATTAGTAGAAAAGAAAAAGAATAAAACAATTGAAATAGAAGTGTTATTTATTTGATTTTGTCAGCACACAATTACTAAAATTGTGAATAAGAATCTCATGTATAACAATTACTACAATATTCATTATCTTATTTCAAACTAATTACAAATATGTTAATTAAAAAGAATGGTGATACTGTTTTTAATTATAATAACAATATATTTTATTTTATTTTATTTTATTACTATTTTATTATAACAATTTATTTAATATTAACAAATAATTAAAATAAATTTATTATTGTTCAATAAAATTTTATTAAATTTGTAATATAATAAAATCACATCAAATACTAAAAAATACAATATAAATTTTTATTAAAAGATAAATTATTAATAGTATAAATAAACAATTAATTTAAAAGTTACACATCTTAACTATTGAGAAAAGTTAAAAATTGTAAAATAATTATTGAAAATGAAAAATCCATTACTATATTTGAGTAAATATATACATAATAAAAAAATTATATTCTCACTCCCTTAAAATAAGCGTGTAAAAATTTATTGCATAACAAAAATGGAATTATTTAATATTGGCTACAAAATTTATTCCATTGAAAGAGTGAGAGACACGAAACTTTATATATTTTAAAAAATAAGCAAAGTTATTCGTTTGAATAATGATTTTGGTGGTCTCTAGCTGTGAGAGAGATGGGTGCCTCTAAAATTGACTAGAAAAATTGTAAATATTGAGGAGACAAAAGAGAATTTCAACTCCTTTTCCTTTTTCCCCTTAAAATAAAATTATTGGCGTAATTCATTTCACCATTTCCTCTTAAAAAAGATGCATTTATATATATGAAACGAATTTCTTAAAAATAGCTAAATACTATTTTCACCTTAAAAGATACCTTTTTCATATTACTTTATTCTTCCTTCTCTCTAAAGTTTCATATATATATTTACCTTGATTAGATTCATAAATTTCTATATATATATATATATATATATATATATATATATATATATTTTGTCTCTATCCAAATTCTTTTGGTTTATCCCAACATTCTTCATTGGTTCGACTGTTGATGAACAATTTTTTTTTATATCAAACGGATCTCTCTGTAAGGTAATTTTAATGTGATCGATTTCCCCTCTTTCGCAATTAGTTTCGTTCAAGTGTGATTTCTATATTATATATGGTCGTGCCTAAACTGTACAAGCTTCTTTCAAAACATACGGCTAGCTTTCTGGAGGTAAATGATAATATCGATTTTATATATATCGTACAATAAAGTACTACATGAATAAATACATAAGAATCTAAACCTGTCAAATCACTCGTGTTATGATCTTCTACATTCTAAGTCTTTTCGTTGCCATTAATCTTTCATTAATTATTTAACTTTTTAAAGATAAATTAATTATTTAAAATAAATATAGATCTATATTTTGAAATTCAATATTTCACTTTCGATACTATGTGCAACTTCAACCATTCTTTTTTCAATACAATAATATATGGGAGTGAGGATTCGAGTTCACGAATTGAAGATAGATATCTTAATCGGTTGAGTTAAGTTTAAGTTGGCACAATCAATTACTTATCTATTCAATATGTAATTAATAAACAAAACATGTCATTAGACTCTATATTCATCCTTTTATAAAKTTTAAAGACTAGACTGAAATGAGACAGACAATTTATATTCTTTTTGAACATTTTTTAAATGTTGAAGTTTTGAATTTAAAACATGTTTTTTTCATTTCAAAATTTAAAACATGTTTTTTTTTTCAATTCAAAATTTAGTAAAATTAAAACAAGTTGAAATTAAAAATAGGAAAAGATTCAATGAGTCGTTACGAAAATTGTTCAAAATTTTTATAAATGAAAAAAATAAAATAATGTATTTGTAAATATGTCACACTTTAATTTTTATATATATATATATATATATATATATATTTTTACCATAATATCATCTTATGTGATTTTTTAGACTGGGCAAGTGACATATTGTGTTTTTCTTCTCATTTTACATTTTAATTTGTTAATTTCGTAAAATTTGAAGTAAGCTTCCACAAAAGTGTAATATACTATTTTTGTTATGTCATCTTATAATTTCTTTTAAATTGTCATAAATTTGATCCCGTAGCTATGTTTTGAAAAATATTTATAAATATGTATTTTTTAAGCTAATTACAAAATATACTTTTTTTTAATATGGATATATATAAATTACGAGCTACGTTCGCTTTGGTTACAAAATATAGTGTTGTTCACTGATTATTAATTAGCTTTGATAATGACAATGACATTGGTATGTTTTTATTTTATCTGATAATCATGTTTTCGTATAATCGATAATATAGTTACACCAAATATTGATTGAATATTATAACAATAATTTCTACTTTTGTTATATTTATTTTAACTTTTTTTTACAACTCTCTATAATATTTTAATTAGAAATCTCCCATCTCTCCTCAATTATTTTACTCTCCAAAAGAAAAGTTAATATTCTTGCAGATAATTTAAGATATTTGCCAGCAATTAATGGCTTTTAATTTGTCTGCAATTGCTTTTCCATTTCTATATTTTACTTGGAAAAACAATTTAACAACTATTTTTTTCTCCTTCCCTTTCACTTTGGAATAAAATTAAAGAATAATTAGCAAATTATTGATCATAAATTAGCTCAAACAACAAATTTTTCACATGCACAAACCACAAACAAAGAAAAAAAATAAAAAAGCAAAAACACTAAGATATAAATATGATAGCTTTAGTTTGAGTGGATGAAAGAAAGATGAGTCGGTGGATTGGAAGCAAAGCAAGAGATTTTGGAGGAATATACAATACAAATATGTTTAAATAACTAATTTTTTAAAGTTTTTTTTTTTTTTAATGTGTGTTCTTGCATATGATTCATTTTGAACTTGCTAGTTCTTGTAAAACTATCATGACTTTAATATGTACGTGAATAAAGGGATGTTTGGATAACGATTTTTATAACTCAAGTTTTTCAAGGTATAAGGATGCAAATTTAATATTTACGAAAATTATAGTAACTACAAGAAAAAGGAGTTTCAGAGATGCACGAAAAATGTCGCTGAAAACTCCAATTTGTCGCTAAAACTTTCAGTGACGAGAACTGATTCGTCACTGAGAATGTTGCAGATAACGCGTCGATTAAAGTTTCAGCGACAATCATCGATGTTACTGAAAATAATATTTAGCAAAATCTTTAAATGTCCCTAAAAATTTGTTCCACAAAACACATATATACCTATTTTCCAATTTTTGTTCCAATTTCACCTTCAATTTTGTTCATTTTCTGTGATTTAAAACAACACATATATAATATGTTGTTGAAAATTATTTTTAATATTAAAAAATACGTAAGGTTCTCCAAATGTGTCTGTTATAACAAAAGAGCATTTTCTGACTACAAATAAGAATGTCTTATATATAGTATATTTGTTTTAATTACATATAACAAAATAAAACATGTGCGCGAAATTCTTCTTCTAAATGATCCAACACAGCCGCTCTTGATGACATAGTTATATCCTATAAAAAAATAAACATAACTTAACGAAAATTAACAACACAACTTATTTAACATGAAAATATAATCAAAAGAGTTTTTCAAAACCTACTAAACAACCACATACATATATATATATATTTATATATAGACACCAACTTACTAAATAATGAAAAACAAAGTGAAGAACACTAAACTTTATAAAAAAAGGTTTGGAACTCCAAAATCTAAACCTATAATCCAAATCGAGGAGAAATCCATAATCGAAATTGACTACAAGAGAAATAGTCACGACACCCAGACCAATGTAGATCTAACCATATTCTATTAACACTATAAATAACTCAAATGCTCCTAACTTCATAAAATACTAATAAACTTATATTTATATATATACAACACAAGTGATAACTACCATAACGGCAAGATCACAACATTTTAACTACATCAAAACAAATATTTATAAATGATGACTACCATAACTGCAGGATAGTCACAACACTTCAACGCACATCAATTCCAATATCTATTATAAAGTATCATCTACTTAAATACTCATCCACTATGGACAATATGTATAAGTACCTTTTTAAACGTCATTTGACATTTGAGAATTGGCTCCTTGGGACTATCCTTCTCCAGCATTACATAGTCTGTTTACAGTTTCCTACAACTGACTCAATTGAACCATTTCTGATTCAAGTAGGCTTTGTTGCGTTTGTACAACGGATTTTAATTGAACGATTTGATTTCTTGACTCTCTATTTCTTTGAGAACTTCGTTCATTCTGAGCCGTTGACGTCGGTGATCCACATCCAAGTGCATCTCGCTTGCCTTGTACTTGAACACTGATTTGTCAGGTTGAAGGAGGTTCTGCACCTTCGACCCAACTCCCTTTCATTCCATTATTACTCCCACAAACCACATAAATAGCAATTTCACCAACATCCCAGCACAATAAAAATCAAATGACATCATAATAAATGCACAAACACCACAATACTTAATTTCAATTCTGATCCATGATGTCGATTTCAAAAAAAAAATCTGAAAAAAACATCCATAATTTTGAAGCAAACCTCACG